GGAGAGATGCTCTTTCTCCAAATATGTTTTTTAGCTGCTCTTTGCTCCAAGTCAGGTAAAATAACTTCTATCCTGCCGAGCTTCCTTAGATACGGCGCTGTGCACAGCTTGTTTTGACATTAATACCCATATTAAAAACATAGCTGATGAATTTGTGCTGATTAAAAGAGAAGTCTTGCCTCCAGAGCCTTTTCTCTCTCCAGCTGCAGCTCCTGAGAATGAAGGCTGGACAGCGAGCTGGTCTGAGTCGTCCACTCTGAGCGCAGTTTGTCCAACTCTTTGGTCTTCTCAGACAGCGTCTATGATCCACATATGATCACTTTTTCAGCTGCATGTTATAGTTACATAGAACACACCGTGGACAACTCTTTGTGGAACTCTTTTTAAAGGTTGATCTGATAATTACAACTTTGCCGATTCCAGTTTTCCTTGCTATGTTTGACCACATACAAAATAATTATTCAACTTTTGTTTAATAAAAAAAAATTACATGAAAAAAATCAATAAATGGGCAGTTTATTAATAAATAAACTGAAATTTCTATTAAAGAAAAATCACAATGGTTAAGTTTCGCTTAACATTAATTGCTGTAACGCAAGAACTACTAAACCATGAGTACGCAAGTAAGCTGTATCATATCTTAAAAAATAAAAATAATGCACACCTGTTGAGCATAATTCAGCTGCCTGGTCAGATCATCTTCAGTCGTCTTAAGCTTCATTTCTAGGGCATGCTTCTCTGCCTGAAACAACAAAAAAATGACATAAACATGACAAAACCTGTTAAAACTCAGTTTTGCTCAGAAAAACAAAAGAATTATTTGACTAGACAATTATATTCAAACAAATGTTTTTATATTTTTATATATATATATTATATATGTTGCCTTCAGCTGATCAAACTAAACTAAAGCTAAAATACAAGTAAGCTTGAAAACATGAAGCCCACCCAAGCAATACAAGCTCCCATCTTTGGGATTAACAACTACACTTAACATGTACATGACAACGTTTTACTTACATGAACTAACATTAAAATTTGGTATTTATTGAAAGGGTTGGTTTTTTTGATGAGTGGCATAAAGTATGAAGAAGCTAAATGGAACCAACCTTCAGAGAGGAGAGACAAACTGCCAGGTAATCTTTAACCTCTTTGTCAGAAGCTTGAGAAAGTCGTAAAGACAAGTGGTTAAGGTGCTTAAACGCGTTTGTCTCTATGACACTGAAGTTGGCGGGACCTTCCAGCACTGGAGACTGACATGACAAATGAAGAAGAAATCTGTGGAATGGACAACAGTTAGTCAGGCGGCGGCGACTGTTTTACCAGGAACTCTAAAATTAACAGTACTGTGCAAAAGGTTTTAATTTATATCTTTCAAATGACTAAGTCAGTAGGACATATTTGTAATGTTTTTAAATATTCCAGTGATACTTAATGATGAAAGTTGCCTTTCACAGAGAGAGCATAGGGACGTGCAACAAGCAACTTTATCGTTCACCAATTTCAAATTCCAAGACAGAATCGTGTCTACTTTTATCACAGCGTCACTTGAGACCGAGACACAAACCATTTCATATTGTCCCTTTACTTACAATATACAATACAAAAATCAGTTCACCATAGATGATAAACTAACCCTAGGAAACAACAGGAGTTCACGTTGCAGGATGACACTGGCTGATAAAATATATTTATGGCATATATTTGTCAGCTTATTCAAATAGTGTGATGTCATGTGTCGGTTTTCTTCATACCTCGGACTGTCTGACGTTTGTTCGGAAATGCACAGGTTAAGCAGGTCAATAAACTTCTGAGGAAATGATGCAAAATCGATCAGTAGACCCTGTTGGACTTTCAAGCTACACAACAATTCAAACACAAATGACATTAGTTAATATTGGAGATGCTTTGTCCCTTAACTCTAACACAACACATTACTTCATACAAATCTTTTTACACTTACCTTTGGAAATCCTCTTCTGATATTGCAAGGTTGAAGAGAAAATATGGATCTATATCATCTGTTATCCGTACTAGAAGATCCTAATGTAATATGTAAAAAAAAGGAAATGTTAAATGATATAATGTAAGTGTAGTATATAGTATAGTTCTCTCTTTATTTCAAAACTATACAAAATTCCAAATAAAATGTCCCACTCACTCTTTTGTGCACTGGACTTGTTGTCAGCTGAAGTTCAATTGTGACACGAATATTTGCTTTTCTGTAAAATGAAGCAATTAAACATTATGTTTGGTGACTCAATAATTCCTATGTGAACTTGTTTTTCAGTGTTCAGCTCATTTCAAAAATCCACAAACAGAATAAAGACAGGAATATGAAAATGTTTCATTTTCCCATTAATGTTTGCAAAATACACTAACACTTGCTTCTGATTCTGCAGTGCTTTCCACGCAGCCTTCACAAAGGCTCACTTACCCTTATGTGAAGTAACTTATGAAGGCTGCTAACAACATTAGCATGTCACCTGCCTTTACCTTTCAGTATGCCAAAATATTAAAACACTGTGCTGCTAGCACTAAGTGTCCACCCTTCATTTTCATCTATGCCAGTAATCTTTTCCTGTGTCTAATTTACCATCAGAACTTCGCTGGTACTGCTGCAGTGAACATTGCTGTCAGAACACCATCTGGTTCAATATACAGATGTGTTCTCTCACAACTGTTTGTTTATGTGAAGCATACTTGCACACTTGTACAGTAAAAGCATTTTGAATGGTTACCAAAACCCAAAATGCACAAAAAAGTTCTACTCTGTTTCCATTATTGTGTATATTTACATTATAAGTATTCTGACAAAGACACATTTTTGTGATTTTGTCTCTGTAACCCACGACGGTGGATTTTAAATCAAACAATCCAGATGCACCTAAAGTGAAGACATTCAGCTTTAATTCAGGGGTTTACCTGCAGAAACTGCTTAGGACATACAGCAGTTTGCATACATAGACTGCCGTTTTCAGAGGCTCAAACATAATTAGACAAGCTAAAGTCAAACCCACGGACATCACTACATGCTGCCTTGAGATGCTCTGCCAGGCCTCCAGCTGTTTGTCTCTGAATCTCTCAGCGTTGTTTTCTGTAACTGAAAAACATGCAGCCGACTAACTTTACCATTCAAGAATATCCCATTTCTTTGCCTTGAGAAACTCTTGGATTTGCAGTATGCTTTGGGTTATCATTCATTTGATTAATATTAACGTGCTTTGCATTAGTCTGTGCAACACGTTTGTTTGTTTTCCCCGGTTGGATTGGACCGACAGCTGTTTGCCGCAGTCAGGATGGGGAGGTTTCGTGTGTGCCGACAGAATAACCGTAGTTATTCTTCTCGTCAGGTGTAACTTCAAACCAAGCTGTTTAAATAGTGCGTCCGTGTCCGTGTGCACAGGCTTACCTTTCCTCGCAGTCCCTGCATCTGACATTAACCTGCAACACTTTGTTGAAGAGCTCCTCCATGTCAAAAACCGTCTTTCCCTGCGGTGCCGCTGTGACGACTTAGAACATCGATCGACGTTAAAGGTTCGTATATCAGACTAGTTCTGAGTGATGCTGGTTTTCATCAGTCAGCTGGATCAGTGGTGTTTGGTATCTTTCAATTTGGCGCTTTTCAGGCGCCAACCGTACAAACGGAACATATGGTCCTTTTTTTTGTTCTACGCTTTAATGGTGGACGGCAGACATGAAGCCTGGTACCGACACCGCCACCTGCTGACCACAGTGGAAACAGCACACAGCGACCCACACGGTGATAGTGTGATACATTTAATTTAGTTCATTTAAAAAAGCCATATGCTATAACGATAGAAATTGCTTTCAGGTAGGTAAGTCCTACCTTGAGTAATCTTGAAGAATCTTGAATAATCAGGCCCCGTTTTGTTTTAAAGACCTTATAGTATGGGAAGGACTCCAATACAGCTCTCAGACTTACTTGTCGTTCCTAGAGCATTTAAAAGTAGAATGGGAGGGAGAGCCTTCAGTTGTCAGGCCCCTTCTATGGAACCAGCTCCCAGTTTGCGTTCAGGAGACAGACACGATCTGCTTTTAAGATTAGGCTTAAAACGCTCTTTTGTGCATATAGTTAGGGCTGGATCAGGTGACCCTGAATCCTCTCTTAGTTATGCTGCAATAGTTTTAGACTGCTGGGGGATTCCCATGATGCACTGAGTATTTCTCCTTCTCTCATCCCTTTTCATCACCATGTGTTTATACACCTGTCTGCATTTAACTATTTGTTATTATTAATCTCTTGCTCTCTTCCACAGCATGGGACAGCGTTGGGTGGCTGTAGCTCAGGCGGGAGAGCAGGTCATCTACTGACTGGAAGTTGGTGGTTCGATTCCTAGCTTCCCCCTTGTCTGCATGCCAAATATCCTTTGGCAAGATACTAACCCCAAGTTGCTCTCCGATCCATCGTCTGAATGTTAGTTAGGAAGCCCTTGGTAACAGCTTAGGAAAAAGTGTGAATGCACAAGCTGTGTAAAGTGCTTTGAGTGCATAGAGTAGAAAAGAACCAGTCCATTTACCACCAACTGTTCTCCTCAATTCTCAGACATCCAAAATAACCTTTATACTTCCTTTGATGTGTGTTTTATGCTCTAAATCAAATCAAATCACTTTTATTGTCACATCACATGTGGAGGTAGACTGGTACAGTACATGTGAGTGAAATTCTTGTGTGCAAGCTTCACAAGCAACAGAGGTGTGCAAAAATACAATAACATGAGAACAAGCAAAATATAAGAATGGCTAAATCTGAGAGTCTATTGTAAATGCAGATTGTGTTTATGAGAACTGAAATTTATAGCATGGTTTTATTTACACTTTACACAGTGTCACCACTTTTTTGGAAATGGGATGATCATTTCAAATTTCTCTTCAAAAGAGATCTTCACATTTGGAGGTCTGTTGGAGGTCCACTAATAAATCATTCTCATTATAATAACAGCAGATATGAATGAATGAACAAACACAGAGCCTGCTGGTTGAGTTTTAGAATAGCATGTTTATTAATGGTATATTTTTGCATAGGGAAACATACTCATTTCCAGAAATGACTTCATTAGAATCTGTCAATAGCAATGTCTAAATGTGGTTCTAAAGGTTGAATATCCCCCACAACAGATGAATAACATAAGGTCATAAACACTGGTTCAGACGGCTTTCACGCAAACATTATACATTCAAAGAGGATCAGACCGGGAAGTGCGAGACTTTAGTTTATGCCATGCAAAAATATATGACTGACAATAATTTCAGCTGAAAAACAAACAAAAAAACAAAAAAATCCACATAGTAAAAAGTACTTAAAAGGCTCGGTAAAGCTGCCAAGAAACTACTTTCTGCTTGAAGCAGCAGCCCTTTCCACAGTAAATCTCGAGGTCAGGATTAATGTCAGCACTTCAGCTTTCCAATATGGAATGGAATGGACTCAGCTCTATCCAGATGTTAAAACTGTGACCAAAGTACACAATAATGAACACCGAGGCGTTCCCATATCGCTGTAACAGGGGACCGCTCTCTGCTTCACTGCAGCGTTGTTGTTTTTAGGTTCCAGCGTACCTCAGTGTGCATCATGCATGCCCATTTTAAGTGATAAAAAGATGTTGTTGTTGTTATCACATGGCTAACTCAATTCCAACTATAGAGTTAATGTGAAAAGGACGACAGTCTATGTGAACTGCAGTCATGCAATAACTGATGACATGTTTTAATGCCTATGCCTTCTCTGATGTAAGGGATATATGTCTGGAAGCAAGCAAGCAGTTTTTTAATATAATATCTGGAAAAGATATGATGGAAAAAAATGTTCAAATATGCATTCAAATATTCTCTGAGAAAAAAAACTTTCATTCATTACATACTATCTTGAGCACATGGAGTAAACTGTGCAGTAGCAATGTACTTTCAGTTACAGAAACAAATCAATATGGCATCACTGTCAGAGGAAAACCTGCAGCTCTACAATCCCATTTTTATTAACCAAGTGTGGTTTCCTGCTGTAAGTCTGAATTACAGGAAATGTTTTCAAAGGCCATTAAAAAAATTAAAAAGCAAACATGCATTTCAAGTAACAGCAAAAAAAAAGAAACACATATTGGAGTCACCAAATCAATGGAGTTGTTCCAGGAAACAGCAGCAGTAGGGTAGAGCGTTGAATATCATTGATAGTTCATAGAAAAGAGCCCTCTGCAGTCCCTTTGTTCCTCATACAGCAAACAGTTCAACATCTGATCATCTGCAGCCGTGAAACTAAAAAATAGGAAGTACCACCTGCAGTACGACTGTTTACTCAGAAACAGCTGTTCACAATACTGAACATGACCTGCTAATCACAATCATCGAGCAGTTTGGACTCTGGTGTGATGCAGTGTAACATGAAATATATGGACACATACATTGATTATCAGAATTTGAACTATAATAACAGTGGCCGCCTAAACAGCACTTGTTTGTCTTTAAACCACAGAGTTTCAAAAAAATCTAGAGGGAACCAAGTCAACCCCACGCTCAGTTAACGCCAGTCTGTATCTGTGGCACAAAATAAATATGCATGCATTTACTGCACTGTGTGTTTGTGTGTGTGTGTGTTTGCGGGGGTGGGGTCTTACAAAAGATGGTGAAGCGAACTAGCTTGCAGGGGGAGATAGTAGACAGTGGGTGAAAGCAAATCACAGAGCTGATTACTACAACTGACACATTATTATAACTGCATAATAATGATAATACAGACCTCCATGCACTGACAGCACACTGCAGTGGATAAATCAACTGATACAGATGCTCCTTTTTGTAATGTGGCATCACATTTGTGCTGCATTTATAATGTTTTTCACGCGTGACCTATAAAAGCTGAAAATAGAACACAGCTGTAGGCCCCGAACGTAGTACAGCATAACATGAAGTACCATAAACTGTAAAACCTCTGAACTTTAGTGTCCCCCAAAATGCACACTCAGTGTTATCTCTAGATTTCCTTCAACTCTTTGGTTTGTTGTATGGCTTGTTACTTCAGGACCCGCACCGGTGAGGGCAACGCTGTTTGTCACCAAACCATGTAGGGTCTGAAAACAACACCTACAGCTTACAAAATACCTCCAACAGTAAAGTGATAGGCACTGCTTATTGACATTGTTTTTGGTAGAACTTTTCAGTTGCTGCTGCCCTGCTGGTTTATTTGAATAGAGCGAGGAACTTGATGAGTTTGCATGTCTGTACACTTTCGGTAAGAGGACAGTGTCTGCATGAGAGCCTGAACTGGTGTGTCGCTTTCTTTAAAGTTGAATTTTATAGCAAAAGAAAAAAAGATCATAATATCAAGACACATCACATGCCAATTATGATTAATTAATAGCTGTAATTCTTGATCAATTTGATCTTGATTTCAGTATTTTATGATATGATGATATGATTATGATAGACCTCTATTTCAAACATTGTGTAAACATACTGCACAAGCTTGAAACGCTATCACCTTAACAGTACTGGGCATGTGTCTTCCACTCAGCAGAGTGAGTGTGTTACTTAGGCATCCTGTTGTTAGGTTTTCGTTTGGTGGGAAACAGAAATGAAGACGCACATCAACAGTTCACACTGTTTCCTGACAGCATTGCATCCAAAATGTGGATTTTAAGTCACGTGCCAGTAAACTGTGCGTACATTCTTTCCACAGGTGAAGGTTTGCGTGAGTTTCTATCGTGGTCGTCAGCTGGAGGAGAAGGAACAACTACAAAGCTCGTACAGTTTTTTGTACACCACTTGCACATTTTGCATGGGCATTTTTGGCTGTAGTGTTTGTTAAAAATGTATTTGAAACTTTTAAAGCAACTAAATCTAAAAGCAAGTTCTATATTTCCTATACGCGTGAAGAAAAAAACGTGTTTGCAAATAGTGGGCCTCATCACAACTTAACCGCAATCAGACCCATCATAGGTTAATACTCTGCTTCATCGTTTTAACATTAAGTAAAGTACATAAAGATTTGGTAACCGTACAAGCAACACAGTCTGTCTTCATACAGTTTTGGTTAGTCAGGTTACTAGATATCATTCAAGCCAAAATACATGTTATTTAAGGTTTATAATCACAGCCACTATCAAAGTCCATATAAAGCCCTCAATTAAAGCTTCTACCACTCAGCTTCTATCTATGATCTTGCAGCAACAATTACACTTTCCACTTTGGCTCATAATTTCTGATGGAACTCCCATCAGGAGGTCTCTGAGGATCCTCTGATTTGCTAAAGTTGTACACATGACCAGGATTGGTGGGTTCTTGCTGTATTGCTACAAGTCTTAGGTCTGTGTGTGAAGAAACTAATACCTGAGGGCACGCCCTATAAGCTCCCATACTCAGCGGGTAAAAGTGTTTGTGCAACTGATGTGCAATAAAATGACCAGATATTGCTCTTTTCTAACGTGCTAGAGCGTCACGTTGCTGCCATTCTCTCTCTGTCAGTGTTTGCCCTATTATGGATGACGTGTCTGTGGTGAAGACCTTTATTTTTGAAGCAGCGATGGACCAGTATAGTCCAAGACTGAATGCTTTTTTTGAAAACACTGTCCGATTTCGTTAAATTTTCACCAAAATATTTGGATAAATGATTCCTTGTTTTTCTATGTATACCATTTCTGCACACAAGTACTTGACCTAAACATTTTTAACTGTTGACTCAACCTTCATTGACGCTTGCAAAAATAAGGCCATATTCTTATAAGTGTGGTGCTACAGTAAGAAGAAGCATTTCATTAGTCAAGCCCAATGTGTAATTTCAAACAGCTCGATCCTATAAAAAAGTTTCAATATTTCAGGACATAATTTATGTATTACAAAAACATTGCTACATGTGACATCACTGTCAACATTTTTTTTTATCACAATGACACATTTAGGAGATTGTGAAGTCTTAGCAGTTGTGCATTGTGTCATTTCACTTCAGTTGACGTCCAAACCAAACAGCTTTGTTGTCCACATTTTTCTCTAAGAGACAGAATTTTCCCCATTTCATGGTTTCCACTTACTGTGTAAGACAGCCACAAATGATTTAAACATTCTATACATCTTGATAACTAATAAGTGCTTTTTGTATATATTTTTTATACACACTGATGTGTTTAAAACTATAATTCTAAAGCAAAGTAATAATAACCCAAGGAAAACCTAAAAATAACCTAAAGCGAAGATGAGTAAAAATAATGTTAACTCAAAGTCATTTATGGCCTTTTATCACATGCTGAGTAACAGGATCAAAGTCGTCATATAGGCAATTGGACGGTGTTCTCATCACCAGTCATAAAGCTGCAAAGCCCTGAAATCTAAACCTGTACATGTTTAACATGCTTCCATTACATGGCAACCATACGTGGCCATACTAGCTAAAGCCCAACAAGATTTTTCCCTGCAATAAGTACCTTTAAATGTGTCTATATGCATCTAACATGGGACAATAAAACGTTAAGTAGATAGAGCTGAGCAGTGCCTCTGAAGATGGCTTTTGTTTGTATTGCGAACATTTAGGCAGGACTTACCACCAGACTTGACTTTCTCAACCCATGTTTTAGCCTCTGCAAAGTGTCATTTTCAAATCAAAGCTTCCATCCATATTTAACCACGCCCAGAAAAAACATTTTACTACAACACAATGGTGTCCACATTTTCATATAACACATATCTAAGCAAATATCAAACAATGTGTGCATGTGACTTTACACATAGCAACACCAATATTGTTCACTTACATTAGCCCACAGACACCTCAGCCTACACGCCAGCCTTAAACAGCACAGCCACTGAATCCAATCAGCTATATGAGTGCAGTCAACACCTGAGTATCTCAGATAACACCAGAAAAATCCACAGAGTCTAAAGGAACTGGGAAAATACTGGGAACTGCAGTCTTTTCCATGTGTTCACGTGTTTTTGTTGCAATAAATCAAACATAGGACCTAAATGATATATATGACAGCAGGTGTATATACTTGGAGGCTGGATCACAGTCTACAGTTCTCACACTTAGGCCTCAGTCACACCAGCCTAGAGACCTGTCAACTTCTGGGAACCTTCCAGTGAAAAATGGATATTTCCCAACCAGATGGCGAGTGGTTGCTGGGTGAAATTGCTCACACAGATGGTGCTGCATCAAAAACTTCCTTGTGATTGCTTTAGATGCTAGCAGACTGCCACAGTAGTTTGCATGGAAGATGCCAAGTTGTCTCTAAACACTACACCCGCAAGAGCAAAACTTGCTATGCAAAGTGAAAAGACAGGACATTAGCCTTCAAAGTAAAAGTTAAGCCTCACTGCTTCAGCCAACCAGCTGTAAAAGGCAAAACTTTTAGCTGGACGGCACAGGTTGTCCATTTCCGGTTTGTGTGGCACTTTTCACTACCACTCGGAGTAGCCGAGGACACGTTTTTCTCATGTGTAGTTGCCAGATGGTAGCCAACTGATCTCCAGGCCTGCGTCACTGGGGCCATACAGACCAAGTTCACACTTTCAGTAGGTCATGATATAACAGCTGAGCTACCTTAATTGCAACCAAATGTATATTATTTAGGGAACAAAGTTGTTTTCTTCATACGACAGTAAAAAGAGCATATTTCCGCAAAGTTTCACACACTTCCTTTCACACTGTAAAAATTGCTCTATCTTTAGGATAACAGAGTAGATGATAAACAGCTAGAGAAAGCTTTCATAGAGCTTAGCCGTAAGTTACTATCTCAGGTGGCGCACCACCACAACCAAAAAATGTGCACTTGCTACACTGGTTAATGTCGAGTAATCACACATGCAGCTTTTTTGTACCGTGAAACATATGATCATGTTTCCATAAAATATTACTGTTCTTTAACTAAAGGCAAGGCACATAATGTGTTTTACGAAATATCGTGCAAAAGTTTAACAACAGAGCTATTATTAAATTCAAAGAAACATATAGCCTTCCATCCACTTCCCTCTGATGTAGTCTGCAGAACAGAGGGAGGAAAAGAAGGATGAGGAAGAGCAAGACAGAGATGGAGAGGTATTATCAAGTTGAGCCATGCATTGGTTAGGTCAGCACAGCGACCAGGACAGCACCATGCAATATACATCAGCTTTAAGACAACTTTAACTGAACCTTAAACTAAAATCCAGTTCATAACAACACTTTCTGTCCATGTCATTGATCCCTTGTAGGCACTAAATTAACTTAGCCATAGCCCCCAAACCGTGGGAAAGAAAAAGGAAATACACCGACATCTCTGCTCTAATGCAAGGTAAAGTACATTTTAGGTGTGGCCTGACAGAAAACAGACGAAAGATCAAATCAAATTTCAAGATATAAGATTCAAATTATATGGGGACACGTCCAAGTAAGATTCCTTAGAAATTGATCATTCATGCTCATTCCCATAGTAACTCACACAAGCATTTATAAATGTAAAGACAACAGGAGGCAGGAGAAACAGAAGTATGTATAGTTATATGTTGCATGTTCTTAATTTGTGTCTACTCCCTTAAAAGGAGGCTCTAATTCTGTATTATATCCTAATGTTTACCTTACCATATAAAGACAAAACTGTTGTTGTAAACTGGTGCTATGTGAATATTATAGAATTGAATCATTGTCCTGCTGAATGACAAAATGTCCTCGGGTGAGTTTTCCATAGAAACAAAGCAAGATTCTGTTTTCTTTTCTGAGAACAGAAAGTGTTCAGACCTACATCCTAGGGAGTATTGGGGTTCCTAGTTAAAGCTGAAAATACATGGCTCTTTGAACCAATATCCATTTTATTATTTCGCATTGAAGGTGCTGAAGCATAGGACTTGAAGAAAACTGTCATTGGTCAGACCACAGCAGTGTTGACACTTTAAAAAAAAAAAAAACTTTCTTCCAATAAGAATATTTGTTTCCAGGGAGATGGAGACAAATGTGGGTCATGGAAACAGCCTACAACAACTACACCAAGGAACAATGTCTGGAGTTTTCTCTTACTCTCTGTGCACAGAAAGCAAGTGGAAAAAACTGACAGACTGCAGAAACAATCCAGCAGAAAATTTCCTGTGAATAATACAGGTTACTCGGAAACTCTTCTCGTGTGGTATCCAATCAGATTGCACTATCAAAAACACATTTTTACATCGTTACATCCACGGAAAAATAATATGCCGACAAGTGTTTAGGAGACTGCTTTAGACTCACCAGTTCTTAGAAATAAAGTATGGCACAGACTATAATGTATTACTTCTTAAAAATCTTGACATTGTCAACATGTAACATTATCTTACACAAATGACATTGTGTAAGATTTATCAAAGGGCCATGGTGCACATGTCTACTACTGTTTCTTTTAGAGTTTACAATGAATTTTATTTGCCAGAACTGATGATGTTTAAGGTGCATTCAAGAATCTGATCCTCAATTTTATTCCTTCTTTCATCATTATGTTTTTTCACCTTTTCAAATGTTTCTGAAGATTTCAGTCAATGTTAAAATGTAGCTTGTAAGCCTTTCAGTAGACCACTATAGAAATGTATTTGATAACTGAAGCTGTGAAACGTCAGCGATAACAGAACACTGCTTTGCCTCACTACCAATAATGCAAACTCTATATAAACATTTACACAGAAAACCAAGGGCTCGACCTACCTTAAAATGCTTAATTTGTTGATGTTGGCACTTCAAACTGGAAAACAACTCTAGCACCGTTCTTCTGTTCACCTGTGTCGCCCAGCCCAATCCCAAATCAAACCCTACTGCTGCTGTTCCATCACACGTTGTTCAGATTGGGTTGGGGTTGAACTACACAGAGCAGAACTTGTCAGGGACCACCACTTATTCTACAGCTAGACGACACACCCAGATTTTGTCCACAGATGCTCATCAGCATCAACAACTTCATCAAAAACAAAAAACAGTCTGCTAAACCTCCAGCTTGGCAACATACCACATCATAACTTTTGAAAGAAACCTATTTTACTGTAATCATAGTGCAGCACCTGCTTTATCTCTTTCTAACCCACCCACACACAAACACAGATCCTGTCATTTTGAGACAAACAGAAACTACAGGACATCTCTTCAAAGCAGGAATGAGTGTGGAAATGCAGGAACCATCACATTCTCATACACAATCATCTACAGACACACACGCACACTACATTACACAACCAGGCTACAGTTCAGCCACATTCAGCAGCCAGTGTACTGCTGGCTGTGCTGCCACATCATCCAGGTATGTGTTTGCCTTTTGATAATTCTACTGAGGAAGTCACGTCAATGTCAAACACTGTACGTTTGGAACTGAGGTCATGGCCCACTCATGCACTCTAACATGGCATAGTAAAACTGGGCCTTGCTCCACGCCTCCTTTCAGCAGTAGCATTGTGTGCTGTGGAGGAGGAGGCATGAATATAGCTCTTATATTCCACTATTATGCGTTGTTTTCTACCAAAGAGCACAATCAAACAGTCTTACAAACATGAGCCTTGCAAAGCAACTAAATAATTTCAGGTGGATGATTGTCAATAAAAAAGATGAAGCCTCTGTGTTTTGTTGGGAAGAGTGAAAGAAACTGCGCTATTCAGCTTGTAATTTTCTTCAGATGTATCAATAACATACTTAAAAAGTGCAAATAAACATTAAATATTAACAACCTCTTCTGGTCGGTTCAGAAATTAAAGGAGGCTTATTTGCATATATTATAAGCAGCACCTGCAGCGGAGAGTGGGGCATTTTAAGTGTTGAGGGAGGGATGAGGTCTATATAGGCCTTGTAGTTGACTTAGTGTCGAGATCCAGGGTACAGGGGTCAAGGCTGACATCCATCCCAGGGAAACAGGACTCATCCTGGGGACACAGTTAAGTTTCAGGCTTCTGAGAATCTGATGTGTTGATGCCTGGTTCTGGTCTGTAGTTCATTTGGACCAATGAAACCTCTGCATTAAGTCGTTACTTTTCTTTGAAAATATGCCATTTGTGACAAACATGTAATGTCATAAAGCATAGTTCATTCTGGGGATATAAAACGGCTGAGAGAGCCCAGCATCCTTCTTCCATCCAGGACGTCTCTTTACACATATATAAATATATTGCAACGTATATTTATATATATGTATGACCAGAGGTTAATATATTTTTCCTCTGGAAATGTCTTCACAACATTATTTTCCCCCCCAGAAGTTTACTGTCATGACAATCACGTTTCCTCCAAAGTTCCCTCAGTTGCCCAAATACCAAGACTGGAAAGGAGACAGACACACAATTAAAACACAAATACAACGACTCAGCTTAGAAATGTGCAAAGTCAGAGTTCCTCTCACACACAAGTATAATCCAAGACTTTCTTGATCATGTTGAACTAAACACTGCTACTGAAAACATTTATGTGCAGCATTAGAGAGACGTTTGCCAGCAGCAGCTAAAACTCAACCTTTGAAACTTCCATTTGGGAATACACGGCACAGAACTAAAAATACCAGAATTTTCCAGATATTGAACAGTGAAATCTCTAAATTTCTGGTGTTTGGGGTCATCTAAATCCTTCCTAAAACGACTTTGACAATGAAGTAAACCATACTGACCTGCGCTTGGTAGAGTCCACCTGGGTCTCGAGGGGTGACTCCCACGAAGGATGATCGATTAGCTGGAGGGGTCCCCGGGGCAGAGTATGCTGAGGGTTAACAACATCATTCTTACACTATCTCCATGAACTCACAATTAGTTGAACAATGCAACACCTTACACAATGAGTTCTGTCAACAGCAACAGCAACAACTATAGCATAGTACAGCATCAAATGCTCTGAAGTCAGTCACTTTAATGAGGGGTTGCGCCAACTCTGCTCGCTGTAGAATATTTGGCGGAATTAAGTTCGCTTATTGTTCGTCTTTTCCTTCAGAATTGTCTGAGAAATTGATGTGAACTGGGCAGAGTATTGCCCATCTCCTCTTTACTCTATATTCTATAAATATATTATATTTATTCTGTCTGTATTGCAGGTTGGAAGTTGGAATAAAACCCCAAACTCCACAAATGTCACCCAGCTTAGATCTGGGCTTTAAGTGTCCACTGTATATGAAATACAACTGACACACATTCAAATGTTTACACAGAAATGAGCAGAAAGGTTTGGAACAGCAATGTAAACAAAATATTCAATTAACTACAAACTAACAACGACATTGTAACAACACTGTCTTTATCAGGTATTAACATCAGTCCACCTCCTGCGTCTGAACCTGCCAGTCTATTCTCATACCTTTTTTTACAAGAAAGTACAAATGGGTCACCTGCTCAACCAAGTGAGTGCAGAAAGCAGTATCTCAAAAGGCATAGTTAATTCTTTTCATATTGTGTTTGAATGATAATGACCATCTCCTAACAGTGTCGTTTTTGAGAATAGATATGAGAAAATTCTAATATCGTGCATTGAACATGGAAGTGTACACAGCAGCTTCTACTGAACTGTTTTATTCTAGGCAGCATATTAATATTTGCTTATACTTTAGAAAATCAAATTTGCAACGTTTACTAATAACTTTTATTTGACCAGCTTGATACTGAAGATATACTGGAAGTTATTTGATTTCATGGAACAGATCATTAGTCGCTCTACTTGTCACTGATGCTCTAAGCCTCATTTTCACCTGTATTCACTGAAATGTTTTGTACAAACTGTATATATATGTATATATTATCTGTATATATAGTAGATTATTTATGACCACTTACTGGGTGATGTGGGGGAGTTTGCTCCTGCATCAGAGGACGTGGTAGTAGCTTTTGACTCTGTAGGAAGGGTCGGCCTAGAAAGGGAGGATGGGGGACTCGCCAGGGAGGGTGCAGGTCCAGGGGGTGCCAACATTTGTGACGAGATGTAGTGACTGGGCACTTTGACCTGGTTACTTCCATTCAGCTGGAATATTTTGGAAATATGAATTTTATTCATTAAAGAAGCATTAAACCCACAGTAATATGAAATATGCTAGTGTTATGGACAGAGGTGATGTCATGTGCCTCTGAGGGTTTTGTCCTTAGGGTAGAGACTGGAACTCACAGGAAGTGGTCTAATTTATACATTGCACTGTGGATATCCAGTGTGGAATAAAAAATTAGATGCGATTTCCTCTTTCTTTTGGTTGCTGCTTTTACGGGTCGCTACAACAGATCATCTGCGTCCATCTCACCCTATCCCAGCATCCTCCTTGGTCACACAAGACCTCTACACGTGCATCCATGAATCTTCTGAGGTCTTCCTCTTTTCCTCCTGCCTCTCAGCTCCATCGTCATCATCATCCTTTGTCTGATATATCCGCACTCCCTCTCCTGCACATGTCCAAACTATCTCAGCCTTTCTGGCGCTGAGCTGTCCTTCTGATGTCCTCATTTCTAACCTTCTATATCTCTACACCTTGCATGTTCACCTTTCCTCCTGTCTCCCTCTAATTCACGCACACATATTCTGACTTGCTTCTACCTTCACTGCTCCACATTCAGGGTTTTTTTTATGTAAAAAAAAGTACTTGCTGCATCAAAGTTAGAATCCAAACCTGTTTCTTTTAGTTTTATGTTTATACATGTGGAGATATTGTCACTCTCCATCTATAGACAGGGGTGCGCATAAGTGGTCTGCAGGTGCGCATGCGCTGTCAAAATAAAAGACGTGCGCCAGATAAGAAGTTGCAATGTGCGTTTGCGTACATAAGATTTTTCTGGCTTCAAACAAATGCCAGCTCACCTCCTGCAACCACTTTTCAGAGAATACGCGCTTCTGTTGCGGTTCCGACTCCTAACATTTCTTTGGAGGTGGAGGAACACGAAAGTAACTGCTTAAAGGAGCTTGCTTCTTCAACATCTTTAAGAGTTCTAAACAAACGTCTGTCCTCCTCCAGAAAATCTTATGTACGCAAACGCGCGTTAAAACTTCTTATCTGGCGCACGTCTTTTATTTTGACAGTGCATGCGCACCTGCGGACCACGTATGTGCAGCCCTGTCTATAGTTACAAAGTGCTGCAGGTCTGGAGGAACTGCTAATATGGTGATTGAATTGGTTGCACAAGAAATATCTGTCTTCAAAAACATTTGTACTTATTTTTGCAGCATACATGTAATACTAGGTGGTAGCTTGAGGTGCAGTGGAGAAAGGGAATAGTGTGTTGGCTTGTGTTGACTAGATGTACTCACTGAGCTAGGGGTTTGATTGGCAGGGTCACAGGCTAATGAAACCAGATCCTTTAGAGGGTCTTGGGCAAGATGAGGAGGATAACGGATCGCTCCATGGGGGAAGTAGGAGGAAGATGGGAAATGAAGAGATGAGGAGGGATGTGGACTCCGGGACAGACCTGAGAAAAAAAATGACATGTTG